TTTTTATTCAACAAGGATCGATGCATTAAATTGATCAAAAGTGACAGTCAAGGGTTTTACACTGTTAAAAAAAATCTACTTCATATAAATGCTGTTCTTTCAACTTTGTTCATCAAATAATTCTGCATAAAATGTTTCATAGTTTCCGACAAAATATGAAACTGTTTTCAACATTGATAATAATAAGAAATGTTTCCTGAGCAGCAAATCAGCATATTAAAATGAATTATCATCATGACTGGAGTAATGATGCCGAAAATTCAGCCTTGATCACATGAATAAATTACAGTTTACTATGGCATAGAAAACAGATAGCCTATGTTAAATTGTAATATTACAGTTTTTACTAAGAGAAATAAAAATCTTACAGACCCCAAACTTTTGAACAGTAGGCTAGTACTATAATTAGGGTAGTTTTGTAAAAGTCACTGACTAATTAAAGGGGAGTTGAGAGCACAAATCACAAAATAGGACTAGTAGTCATGAAAACGTGTTCAGATTTAGCATATTAATGATGCATTCACCTCATAAATCATGACACACTGCTCTAGCACAGGAAAGTGCATACAAGTTCAAATGCATGCTTTTAAAATGAAAAAGTATCGGTATCGGTATCGATATCGGCGATACTGGCCCTGTATTTGGTATCGGATCGATACAGAAATTTGCAGTATCGCCCATCACTACGCCTCCATAGACAGCAACTGACAAAATAGTGTTTTTTTGACACTTCAAAAAGTTCAGAGATAGCAAAACTAATTCATAAGAATTTAGTGCAAATTTTCTGAAGAGACTCAGTCGCTTTATATGATGATTAGATTGAATTTAGGCTTTAATTGACATAAACATTAATCATCTCACACATCAGTTGTGGTAAAAGGAAGCTCAAGCATGTGCGAGAAATGAGTCTCATCATGTTATGCTGCACGTTTGAGCTTCCGCAAGAACCAAGGTTCATTCTCACGCAGCACATTTGAGGTTTGTTTTCCGCATCAAGCAGGTTCGGTTGAGCTTCTGTTTATGTTCGCTGATCAATGTTTAAATGTGAAAAAAAGATTCATATGGATTAGTTTTACGATCTCTTTATGATTTTTTTTTGAAGTGTCAGCTAGTGTTTCAGTTGTGTCTATGGTGGAACAGAAAGCTCTCAGATTTCATCAAAAAGATATTAATTTGTGTTCCGAAGATGAATGGAAATCTTATGGATTTGGAATGAGGTAAGGGTAATTGACAGAATTTTAATTTTTGCGTGAACCGTTTAATGTTTTAATGTGCGTTCTTACTTAAATCTTTTTTTAACCCTAACTTTTACTTTTTATAAAACAGCCAAGCCAGTTAGCTCCTCTTCATCCAATGGAATGGATTAAATTTGATTTGATTATATAGCCTAGTATTCTTTATATTATAAATTAAGGTCTGTTTTTTTTATTATTATTTTTATTTATTGGTATTTAAGGTCTGTTTTTAATGCAGTAGTGCTTTGAGAAAAAGTGATTGTTTTGAATGTTTTAGACATTCTGGTGCCATCAACCTGGCAAGGCTTTCCGTTGCTCAACAATCACAAGGCTGGAAACTCTCTTTACTGTGAAAAATAACGTGCATTCGTATCTCTCTTCCTTCCCCCCATCACAGAAAACAAACACGCAGAATAATAAACGATAGAGGAGTTCTGTGTTTAAGTTGGACGGGATTTCTAGCACAAACGGTGGGAAAGGATGCTGGCTGCAGGTCTGTACTCCGAGCAGAGCTGAGGTGAGCAAAGCAGCACAACCGGAGAAATGCTTTAGCTAAAGCCAAACCACGAGATAAGATACAAGGGCTTTGCCACGAATCTCGATATACCTTTGGGTGCTTGTTGAGTGATATTTTGTCATCTGGAGGAGGAAAAACAGGACAAAATAGAAAAAATATTGAGGTGAAACAACTTAATGTGATTGTAATCAAAGCATCACTTTGTTTACCAGCTTGGCATTCTGTCGCTGATGTGGCACCGTTTCGAAATGCATCATTAAAGCCATTAACTTTCGTAATTTCCCCAATTTTCTTTATTTCAAATACAAACAGTCTCCAGGTTCTATGGCCAAGCGCTCCCAGACCTCCTGTTTCACAGGGAGCTATCAGATGAATGCTGGGATATCTTAGGGGCTTTCTGGCTGATTGGAACATATTCTAAATGATCCTGAAAAAGCCCTAATAGCAAACACAGGTGGGAAAAGCATTACGAGCCCATCAGGGCTGCTACCATTCTCACAGAGACAGCTAACGCTAAAAGAAAACATTCAAGGCAATCATGATGAAGAGGGAAAGAGATGCAGGGTGAGAGGAGTGTGTACTTCCTTTGTGAAGGAAAGTAGTTGAATTGTACTGTAACAACTCCTAGAACGGTTAATTAGACGGTAAGTGAACTCTGGAAGCAAAGCGGGCTATTGCTCTAATTCCAAAATTGTTCTGCTAATGAGCCTCGCAAAAACAACCATCAGACTACTTTTCAATTACATAAAGCCGATTGAGCTGTAGTTAAAATCTGAACTATATCATTTGTACAGTGCAATATTTATTTATTAGACCAAGAAGGCTCCCAAAAGCATTTCCTTTTTAAAAGATAAAAAAAGTACTGCAAAATTACCATGATAAACACACATAATTAAGAATATTTAACAGGAAAACAGTTTATAATTGGCAGTACCACACATAGTTATATACCCTCCTGAGACCCAGAAAAAAAAAGTTTTTTGAATTTAGTTTTTTTCCATGTCATCACACTGTTTAGAGCACAATAAACAAATGGTAAAAAAACACATATATAAAATAATATTTTATTCATACGTTATGCTATGTCCTCTGTAGTGGACGCCAGGACTAAGTTGTTTAAAAAATAAAATGACATGAAATTATATGTATAGGCAAAAACAATGGGATTTTTTATCTTTATATTTTTTATTTTTTATCACCAATAAATTTTGGGGTTTCAGGATTTTTTCAACCAAAATTTGTATAAAGATTATTCTCAACTATGTTATGAAAGAAATAATGGAATGAATTGATACACCATTTTACTTTTTGCAATATGTGGGTAAAATGGCCATAAATTAATATTCCCATTCAATGCAATGTATCTATACACTGTATCTAATTTGCACATTAATGTGTTCTTGGAGCAACATTTAATGAAAAAAGAAGTGTAAAAATTGGAGTAATAATTGGCAACATTTTAATAATAATATCTAATATTTCATAGGAATATTGATGTATAAATTATTTCCATATTCACTTGTTGTGTCTCCCAGAATGCCTGATAAACATGATTTTAGTCCTGATGTCCTCTACAGTGGACACGTTTGAAATCAATGCCCTGTTCTGTAACAGAAAGTATTTTTTTTATTTGAAACCCCTTAACATTTTCCTGAGATGTTGTTTTATGAAATACAATTTGAAAAAGTAGTCCAATTTAAATATAATTACAATATATTATCATATTTCCATAAGAATGCTACATTTGATCACTAAATTAATGTCAGACATTTTTAAAGACCAAGGTTTTCATGGTGAAACCTCCAAACGTTTGGTATCTCTCAAAAGTCCTGAATGTGCTCTTTACAGGACACCCAGGTTCTGTCATGTGACATGTATGATGTCAGAGAAATTCACTAAAATATAATGTCCACTACAGTGGACAAAAGTCTATTCTTGGGTCCCAGGAGGATACAGTAGATCAGAAATACTGTCAAAATGCATAGGCATGCACTTAAAATATCCTTATGAAATATATATATATATATATGCCCTATAAAAAAATTATATAAATTATAGATATTTTGTTTTCTCAGAGGGTAAAAGACAATGACTTAAGGTCACCATGGACATTTCTTCTTCTTCTTTTTTTTTTTTTACAGAATTACAGTATTTATTATAAACGATTCATCCGTGCAAATCATATTTTATTTTAATTCAAATGCCCTCGGAATCTTTAATCAAAAAACGTTAATCTCCCCTCCCCCTCGAAACGACATCTGTTCTCTTCATGATGTATGTCTCGGAGAAGGGTGGGACTAAATGTTCTCCACAACTGACTGCAACCTGCCATTCATTTCGGTGTCCATTTAGTTAGCAACACTCAAATTCCTATCATCCAATCAATGAATTCCTGAGGACAAAGTCCCACCCTTAATCTTTTTTCGTTTCTTGTTCCACTTCACTCGGATACATCTCAATAGGGAAGAAAAGACTATCGCAACTTCCATTTCATGGCGACTTTAAACTGTGCACACATCAATAAAAAATAGGCCTGAGCTTATAAGCTTTTTCTTTGTGCGGTGATACTGATCATCATCATCATCGTGCCACAAAAACAAAACATTTTTATATTTTATTTAAACAATATAGTGCATATTCAGAATAGAGATACTACTATACTTTTGCTTTGTTTAATGCATCTTTATTAAGTACTGTAACTGAGAATGCCTTTCCACTGATCTTCCAGAAGAGATGTGAAAATCAAATGCAGTGTTACTGTTAATTATTTCACTTCTAACAGCAGAAAGGTGAAACAATAGAGCAGGATTTGGGCAGAAATGTTCAATACTATGTGGACACAAGCTCAAAGACGGTTGCATCTAGTCTTAACCAACATGTGATCATGTGTACGTTTGAAATCTTTGAAACTGTCTACCAGGATTAATTACTAACTCAGGAAAACATGAGAACTGGAATGTGGAACAGCATACCTAAAGATGAGTTTAAGTTAAAATATAAATAGTTAATTTAAAACACACACACACACACACACACACACACACACACACACACACACACACACACACACACACACACACACACACACACACACACACACACACACACACACACACACACACAGCAACTGTACAGTTATTATTTCAAATGCAAAAGTGAATATGAATGGCAAAAACAGCTCCCTCCTGTGGATATTAGCATGAGTACATTTTGCACGTTTTATTTTCAAGTCTTTCCAAAATACTTGATGGAAAAAATCTGTAAGTTTTATTTACTGCCAGATCTGAAATAATCATGGACATGATTTAAATTCTTAAGTTTGTAAGATTCAGGTTGTGATGCCCACCATCACTTCACTAATGTCCCACAGTTTCTTGGCCACCTCCTCGTCTGTGGCCTTAGCTAACAGCTGTTCCTCAAGACAGTTAGCAAAGCACTTCCCTTGAACGCCGTCCACATCTTCAGAGCAGGCCAGATAGATAGAAGTCTGCGCACCCTCCTCGGGGGACTTGAAGAAGGCCCGTGAAGCCAGGTTAAACAGAGGCTTCACCAGCAGCGGGATGTGGACATGTCTGCCCAGGTTAGTCCTCACGATCCCTGGGGTGAGAGCGTTTACCGTCACTCCTGTGTCCTCAAGGCTGTGCGAGAGCTCCATTGTGAAGAGAAGGTTGGCTAGTTTACTCCGTGCATAAGCGAAAGCTTTATCGTAGCTCTGCTCGCTGTTCAGGTCATCAAAGTTTATTTCGCCATACTTGTAAAGTTTGGAGGACACCACAATGATGCGACTAGGAGCTGAACGTTTCAGGAGGTCCAACAGGAGGTTCGTGAGCAGGAAGTGACCTAGATGATTGACAGCAAACTGCATCTCAAACCCATCTTCTGATTTGGTGTAAGGACACTGGTAGATTCCAGCATTGTTGATCAGGATGTCAATCCTTGACTCTTCCTGTTTGAGATACAACAACAGAAATGCCAAATTGTTAATGTATGCAGTATTTCAGAATACAAGAATGACAAGACAAAATAATCACAACTCTATCAATCGTTACAACTTTATTCTACTCTAATTGAAATGCTCTTCTCTCCTTTCTTTGCCTATTCTTCTTTATGCACAACATTTGAAAACAAATGGACCATAGATAAAACAGAAATACACAATTAAATATTTACATTGAACATAAACTGAAATGGGCCATTACTGAGAGGAAGAACATTAAGCCCTAGTATATATGCCATAACAAATATATAGGGTAGCAGGGCTACTTAAAATAGAAGTTGTAACAAGTCCATTTACATAAATGTGTTTTCTCTAGTAGTGGTTTTGTTCATTAGTTTCATGGTGTTTAGCCGTCTTGAATTGAATTGAGTGAATTTTGTCTTCTATAAAACTATATTATATAAACATCACTATATTTTAAAGCTGCAGTCTGTAACTTTTGGTGCTCTATCAGTTAATAAACAGAACTGCATGCGTCTTGCGGAAGAACATTGTAGTCGGAGCGACTTCTCTCTGTTTATGTCTATGACGAGTCATGCAGGTACTGGGCTACTCCGCAGTGGTACGACCTGTACCAGTCTAAAATAGTCCGAATATACTTATTGTAGGATTACTGTAGTGATTCAGACAAAAACACAGTTTGGAAAATGGATTTATGATGTAGCCTACTTGATTATACATTTTGTACACACAAAAAAAGTTACGGACTGCTTTTAATTATAAATGTATTATTTACAATATTCAGTAAATTGACTTTAAAAAATAAACACCTTAAGAAATTATTCCGGTCCTAACTTTATAATTATTTTGACAAAGTTGCAAAGGCATTTTCCCCCCAAGCTTGCGCGCGCACGCCGCGCAGTCACGTGCACTTACCAAACTTCTCGAGCATGCTATAACGTTAGTTCACATAATAAGCGCATGACGCTTGCACTCCCTTTGTCGGTATTTATTGTGCACCTGTTTCTTGTCGAAAACAATTCAGTCGTAGTACCATGCTATGCGTGCCTTATATGTATATTTACTACACAAGAGTAACAAACACTGTGCTTGGTTTGGTACAGTACCTTGATTATATCTTCGCAAAAAATACGGACCGATTTAAGCGACGCCAGGTCCAAGAGTTTTATCACTAGTTCCCCTTGCTCTGGTCCGGCCTCCTGCTTGATCTCCTGGGCTGCTTTCTCTGCCCGTTCTCGGTTTCTACATGCCATGATCACCCGGCCCTGACGCCGTAGCAGCTCCGCAGCCGTGGCTTTTCCAATGCCACTGTTTGCCCCGGTCACGATAATAGTTTTGCCGCGCAGCATATCGATGACTTCATCAAAATGTTAATAATAGGTAATATCTGCTTTACTGCTGATCCTTCTGGGGCCATCAACAACGTCCAGTTCATGAACAGGTTTGTAGGCGTAAACAATCACGCATGTGGGGAGTAACCGGAATGTTATTGAACTACATTACCCAGAAGTCGTAGCGGGTTCAAACGCAATGCCCGTGTATTGCTTTTTTAGTTGATTTTTTATTTTATTTACAAGCAATACAAATGCAAACCACATGCATCCTTTCACAGATGGACGGGGCTTACAGTTTAAGATTATAAGTAAATATTCTCATTCCTTCTATTCAGTTACATTCATAATATATTCTATATTCAAATTTATTCTAGCAAATAAAAAATAATCTTACATTTTTTTCCAATATCTTTTTCTATGAAATTCCCAAACAAGTTTTCCCTCCACAATTATTCAAAATAATTTGTACAATTCCTCCTACTACTAACTACTATTTCTTTTCATTAACATTAATAGACCTGAAGGTAAGGTATAGCCTTTATTAAATAAGTTAAATTATGTTTAAAGAGAGAATGACCACTTGTGGATAATTTATTAAAACGTTTGTCTAATTGGTCATGTGAACTCACATCTTTATGGGTAGTTCCAGCCTTTATTTATCCATCTAGGTCTAGAAACCCATGTTTCTAGTCAAATCCATGTTTTAGAACTATACAAACTGAACAGCTTTATTTAGGCACTAAACATAAACCACAAACCAAATAAGATCACTCATTTAATTGATCATCATAATGAATAAATCCAGCATTCATAACAGTGATCAACACATTTTTTTGTTTTGTGGAAAATAAAATATACATTTACACTTTATGGTAAACATAAAAGGGGTAATATATTCTAAATACAATATATCAACTGTTTCTCCACATGCTTGTCCTCATTTCATCATTTACTCAGGGCACAGTTTGTGTATTATTGTGGCAAGGTCTGTCAGGAACACTGGTGGCGGGCCACACACTGATAGTGAGGAGGGTGAAGTTCAGGTATCGAAATACAACATCTAAAATAATGTAGATAAAACTTAAATTTACATTGCATAATAAAATATCACACTATAAATCAAATACAGTTGCAATATATATTCCCTGAGGTATATAAATATTCTATTTTAAACTCTTGATTAAACAATATAAAATTGGAATGAACAAGGCATAATGGCTGGTAAACACTTCTAATTGCACATTATTCTCTTAAAAATAGAAAAAGAAAGGGCTGAAGTTTGAAGTTTAACCTTACAGTGCTGCTGTCAGATTAGTACAGTACATAATATGTAGGCCATTTTGAGCACAGGCACAGTAGCTTCTTTGTATTTATATTTCCAGTAATCCATTTAACTTAAACCATCTGTACAGAACAGATCAAGGTTCAAAATATTCTCAGAAGCAACCAAAAATAAATAAATAAAATTAACTTGAGGGACCTAAAGAGATGGGACTTTTGATAATCATCAAATCATTAAATTTTTTCCTCTGCACCACTTTCTATCCGTTTCCCCTTATGATATTTCTGTCCAATTCCATAGGGCACATGAGCAGCGATTGTCCCGAGCTCCTGGGCGCCCTCGATGTGAAACATCTGATCATCAAAGAAGATGTGTGGCCTAATCTTATGAAGGAGAGGCCCCTTAGGAGCCCCAGCCAAAAAGAGGGCCTCGTCTACTTCCAACCCCCAGCTCCGTAGGGTCTTCAGGACGCGGGCCCCAGCGCTGGCAGCACTTCGAGCTGTGACCAAGTAAGTGCGAATTGGGCAGTTGATTCTTTGGTCTTTTGCATAGAACTTGCGCTGGAGTTTCCCCAATGCTTCCAGAAAACATTTTAAGGGGCCCTAGGAGACAAATCAAGGATAAAAAGGACTTTGCATGCACCGAACATGACAAGATGGATAAAATGTTAGAATCAGAATTAATAATGAACATTAGTAGTCAACAAGTCTTAGTTTACCTGAGCAAGAGGCTTGTTCTCAAACTCTTTCTCATGCTTAAAAAAGGTGTCCAATCCGTGTTCCTTCACGATAATCTCAGACTCGTCAGAAAACAAAACAGCATCCCCGTCGAAGGCTACACGTAGCTGCGTGTCACTGAGCTCGTTCTCACTGTCACAGGTGAACATTGTGGCAGCGGCAATTCCTGTAGAAATGGCCATTTAAAACAAATTTAGATTCATTTTCAGCTCATCTAAAGCAAGATTGTTTTTTTTCTGTATTGAAATTAAAATGCCAGTTATATCACAATGCATTCATTTTTTTTTTTTTTTTTTTTTTTAATACCTTCTTCGATAGCTTCCTGTACCTTCTTTGAATCTTTGGACAGGTAGAGGTTGGTCATGTAGGCCTTTAGGTAACCAATCGGACTCTCTCCACCCGTCATGCAAAATCTCTCTATATTTAGATCTGGGGAGAGAGAGAGAGAGAAGATAATTCATGTAATTGTTGTTTGTATAGTATGCAGTGAATATGCTTTTAATGCTTTTTAAAAAAAAGCAGTACATATGCTTTTTTCCTGTCAGGTGTGCTGTAAAAAAAAAAAAAAAAAAAAAAAAAAAAAACATTATGTAAATCACTGGACAGTTTTTCCAGACAGATTTTTAGCCAAATTCTGTTCTGTCTGCCTGCACTGACATATTTCCTGTTGAACTAGGTCTGTGTAGAATAATATTTTAAAGAAAATGATGTTGATCACTGTCAAAGGCTAAATTGTAGGCTAATATATGTTGTTTGGTTGAAAACTAGCTTTAGACAATCCTGAATAGGACTTCTGAGTTCTCCTCCCGAGTCTCTGTTTTCTTTCCATACCGTAGTGATTGATGCTGTTGATGAGACGAACTCCGACCTGGGCGTGGTTATTAGTCATCAGCACAATATCAAACAGCTCCTCGCTGTCTGGGTATAGTTCCCTCAAACGAGCATTTACGTTCATTAGCGCCTGTTGATTAGAAAAACAGGTGTGGCTTTGGATGCCTAAGAATATCCACGTTAGTCAACACTACTGTGATGTATAGTTGTTTAGTGCAATAATATGTGATATAAAAACGTAAAGGAAATCATCAATTACACAGTGTTCCTGGTAGAGGTAATGCTCTGTGTAATGCAGTAATGCTCTGTGTTTGAGTCCTGCCCTGCAATAAAAAGGTCTAAAGTCCCTCCATGAACAGAAGTGATAGCACACATTTGTTTTCCAGCATGCTGCTCTACATATTTTCCATGATTCGTATCAGTGCTATTTTAATTTGTCCGGGAGATATAGTCATGATATTGTCCTGGAGATATAGTCATGTGTCATAAAAGTGGCAAAATAGTGTTTCAACCAGCTTAACTTGACCAGTGTCAGGTGTGTACTAGAATCCCTGTGCTAGGATTTGTCACTTGCTAGCATTGGCTAATTGTAATTTGGATTGCAATGGCAATTAAATATTACTTTACTAATTGTGCCATCATTTTTAAAGAGCTGCCAAATTCATTGCTAATAAAAATCATAGATGAAAATGTATAACTGTACATGCATACTGTATATTCTGGTCAGTGTTTACTAATCTAAATGTTTATTAGTTTACTAGGTTGCTAGTCTTAACTACTTTACTGATGTTTAATACATTTAATGGTGAAAAGGACATTATGTGAAGCTCTTTGAGTTGTTTAGTAAAGTCCTTTAAGGCATATTAGTCCTCTTTACTTTTTTTTTTTGACGAAATAAAGAAGTTAGATAAAAGGTAATTCAATTAGATTTAGATGACAGCTAGGTGCTGGCGAATGTAAAGTGAGTGTTATGACAGACAGTTTTGAAATCTAGTAGTATGATCAGTATGCACTGTTTTGTCTTGTTACCTTAACGAAAGGAAACGAGACCCCTGGGGTAAAAAGCTGATCCTCCAGCTCCAGCTGGTGCGCGACGTACCTCTCCAGCCCCTCCTCTTCAAACACCTTCCTCTCCTTCACCATGTTAAACAGCGTGCGCGAGGACACCGCAATGGTCACTGCGTTGCTGGGTTTGGGCTGCAAATCAAAAGCAGACAAATGTTTACAATAGCTGTGGACGACAAACAACCTGCTCTATTCGGTCAGATGTGTGCAGAGCTGCTGTCACTGGCGTAATGACGCACCATCTACACTGCAAGAGAACTCGCTTTCAGTGTAGACAGCTTTCTTCGATTATAATATACGTGTTTTCTAGTTTTTCGCGTCGCTATCACTGTAGATTGGGTATCGGATGGGGGAGACACTGCTGTCATTCGCAGCTTGTTTACACTAACAATCGCTTACCGGACGGGGCTTCTTCGCTGTTTTCGCGTTGTCAAATAATGTTTTGAGAGCTGCCCAGTCTTTTTCTTCGCTGTTGCCGGAGTTGGACTGTCCTCCTCTCTCAGTGTCTTCATGTTTGCTCATATTGTTGTTTTGGCAGGGACAGGGAGACTCGACTTGTTGTGTCCAGCGTCCCTTCTCTGCGGTAACGTTAGTTGAATACCTCTCAGCATCAGTACGACGCAGTGACGTCACCAGCCCTGGGCAAGTGTCTCGCATAACGATTTACATTTAATCTTTTTTCAGTCAGTTTCAATCATAAAAACAAAATGAATAAATAATAAGCGTCTTCGTAAATGCACTGCATGCTAATTTCTTTGTTGTTGTTGTTGCGAAAGCATTTACACTTAACACTTGTTTTGTTTTAGTTAGCTACATTGACTGGCACATCAGAAATATCCTTTATAATAAGCTATAGATTAGATGCTCATTCATCTGGAGCTATAATTGTGTAGAGATAATTTAGCCTATGTATTATTGTGGTGAACATATTATTATTGAGCCTACATTTTACATCTTATTTGCATCCGTCTTTGGAAAAAATATCCTTTTCCTGAGAACAAAGTTCAGCTTAATTTACATGCATAGGATAAAAATACCTGCATTACATAGGTGACACATGTCTGGTTTTATTGTGTTCGTTAAAATGCAATTATTTTATTTTAGTTTCAGTTTGGATGACCATAATGGTATTCAAGTAATGTTTGAAGCCTACATACAAAACCACTAATAAAATTGTAAGCTTATATTTAATTGTATTTTTGACTTATTTTCTGAGAAATCCTTGTGACATCTAGCCTCAGTCTCACCTTCAACACAGGCAGGTGTTATCTGGATATGTCAGGAGGTATTATTATGGAGTGAATTTTTGTAAATAGTGTGGAAGTATTTGTTAGTATTTTTTTCCACGTCATTGTATTAGAGGGCATCTACACATCTAACCTAGTGGTAGGTTTTATTGGTAGCATTGGTCGATAGGTGGCATTGGTTTGGCTCTGATGCAGGGGCGTAGCACAAGATCCCGGGCCCTATGTATAGGCAGTCCTGATGGGCCCCCATGTTCCAAATACAATATATTCCAGACTTTTCAAGGGCCCTCTCTCCCCTTGGGGCCCTGGTAATCAGTACTGGTTTTACCCCCAGTCCGACGCCCCTGCTCTGATGTGTTATCACAAGGGATTTTCTAAAAAAAGAGACATGCAGATAAAATGAGATACATTGACGCTCAACGCATTGACGAATGCGGAAGCACAGAGGATAGAGCAAAACAAAACATCGGTCACGAATTAGAAGTGGTCATAGATTGTTCATTTACTTGGAAAGCCCACATTGATTATCTCTGTTCAAAATTCCAGCAGCGATTGTATTTTTTTTAAGGAGATTTATGTTGTTTGGAGTAAATCAGAGGATTCTGCAATTATTTTATTAAGCAGTTTTAGGTATAAATTATGGGATTCTAGCTTGGTATGGCAATCTTTCGGTCCAATCAAAATCACAGCTTGCACATCTTGTTTAAACTGCAATAACAGTCATGGGTGTATGAGAATATACATCACTTCAATTAATTTATGAGTGGTTGGTTCTTAAGAATAAACACAGACAATAGTGAGTGATTCAAGCCATGTTTTATTTCCAATGTATCAACTACTACCATCAGGGAAGTGTTATAGTTCCACTATGCAAAAGCAACCGTTATAAAAAATCATTTATACCTGTATCTATTCATATTTAAATAGTAAGATGTAGTAATTGTTATGAATTCTTTATTAATTTTTAATAATTTTTTGTCAATGTTTTTTCCCCTTAAATGATGTTGTCGTGTGTTGTGTTCTAGCCTGGTTATAACCAGACCATTCTCAGTTGTAACTGAGTTATGGTCTGGCAAAGCGTCATAGACAAATCATTTCCAGAGGGGCGTCACCAACGGACGTCGCGGGTATAGACCTAAAACCAATCAGAGCGATGAAGGAGATGACGTATGCAGAGCGGCGGAGAAACATCTCCGAGTGTTGTTCTTTGCTCGGTTTTTAACAAAAGGGAAACGTTCAAATCGCTTAAAACTAGCTTAAAACGAGTGATGTTCGACGGCGTCATCCATCTTTGTAATGTAGGCTACAAAATCTGCTTCAAAATCCCAGCGCTGTCGTCATCGTGTTAAGCCCGCCCCAACGTTTCTGATTGGTGCCGCAATTTCGGCGGATTGGAAATGGGCTTGAATGAGCTCTTTGCCAGACTAACTTTCAGAGCAAATCTAAATTTGCCGGAAGTTGTCTGGGTTTTCCCAGGCTAATTGCAACTTTGAATCCAAGACAAATTTCCTGAAAAGGACAATAAAGCTCTAAACTCTCTAATCATCTCCAGCACTCTTAATTTAGGAGCAGAGACCTATAGTCTTAACACATATGAACCTTTATGAAATCACTTATCCTAGTTTGACACACTTGAGACAAAATGTTTTGCTCTGAGCGGCTTTATACAAATGGCCGCCCCCAGGGCAAAGAAAAAGTCATTTAGGTAATGATTTATTGATTAATTTCACCATTAAAACCTTAATATCAGCTTTTGCCTTAATTTAATTTACAGTCTAAACCTTAAACAATATCACAAATAATCACCAAATTTAGCTGTTTTGACTTTGTAAATCACATTATAAGAGAAAGTATTGTGCTGCACCACCTGCAGGGCAGTGCATGTCAGGCCTTTACAAATCAAATTCGGATTTAGTCTCACTCATTTCTCACACCATAGGGTACATGAGCACCAATAACACCATTTTGAAGGGCTCCCTCAACGTGTGGTGTCTGGTCATCAAAGAAAATGTGGGGATTGATTGCTTTCAGCACAGGCCCTTTATGGGCACCAGACAGAAAGAATGCCTCATTTATCTCCAGCTTGTTCTTCTGAAGAGTCTTCAGGACTCTTAATCCAGGACTTGTTGTGCCACGTGATGTTACCAAGTAGGTACGAATTGGACAATTTTGCAGATTGAACTTCTGCTGGAGACGTACCAATGCTTGAAAAAACACACTTAGTGGGCCCTGCAAAATAATTACACACAAACACATTATTGCCATTTTTAGCGAGTTAATCAATTATTACATTAAATTGTAGTGTGCTGAATGATGAACTAAATGTTTAAACCTAATATCTACATAGTATATAGCATCTGTGGCATGCTTTTGATTTCCACACACAATTGCAACTCTCAACTCACATTGTGTACAGTAGAAGTGCTTTCGATGTTAACAAACTTTCAGTAGAAAGTTCCTTTAAATAACAAGGCTGTGTACCTTGTGAATGTTAAATATAACATGGCTTAACTGAGCCATCTGAGATTCAGCAGTATTAACATGTTGGTTTCGGACCAACATTCTTACCAGTTCCAAAGCTGTGTCCTCGTTTATAGATTAATTTTCAAAAAAACTTTGTAGCCCTTCGTTTTTGTAGACTCTCTCTGACTCATCTGAAAACAGGACTCCATCTCCATCAAAGGCCACACGTAACACTTCATCACTGTGCTCGTGGTAATCTCTCTGGAACATTGTGGCTGCACCATATCCTGAAAAACAATGCCATCACCATTTAAAAGCGTTATACTAGAAGTACCTACATGCAGCAAATGCCCACTTTCTCACTGCAGCACTGGATTTATGTAATACTCTCTTTTGCCTCATTCCACCGATTTCCCCCCAAACTCGGCTTAGAAGATGCAGAAAAAGTCTTAGACTGTTTACAAGGAGTGTTGGGGGTAACACAAGCTATGTAATCAGATTACACAAGTTACTTTGCTTTCCCATTTATTGACTGACACCTTTCCTGTCCCCATGTTGAGAGAAATCATGAGTAAGTGCAGAGGCGTTGTGTGCGCTGTGTGATCATGTGATGGGTTTAGTAGTTCTAGACTAAATGTGAGCAGGCATATACTCATCTCAAATCAGATTTAGTATTCCTCAAAATGAATAAAAACAGTGAAATGCAAACGCAGAATATTACAAACCTGCAGTAATTAAATATTTTAAATAACACAAATATACTCTATGTATTTAATCTAATTTTATTAACCACTTTATTAACCTTCTCAAGCGGCCTATTCTTCTGCAATCCAGAATGGCATCACAGCTGAGAGTTTTGAGCTGTGCCATCTAATGTACTTTGTTGAATTTGCATTTCCTTCATTTTTCCATTCATTTTACATATTCATTTCACGTTTGGTGAGAAAGGGCGTTTACATTTGCCAAAAATAGAACTTTTGTTTTTGTTATTAAAAAACAAACAAGCAAGCCCAGGTGAGAACAAGTAAAGCAAAAGTAATGTAATGCATTACTTTCCATAAAAGGTAACTAAGTAAGGTAATGCTTCCTTTTACAGTCCTGTTACCCATGTACTTACTATGTACTTATTATAGTAATTACAATTAATGGGTAATAACTAGGTACTAACCCTGAACCTACCCCTAAACCTACCCTAACACAGTTAGTTACTTTTTTAGGGAGTAATGCAATATTGTAACTCATTACTTTTAAAAGTAACGTTCCCCATCACTGGTTACAAGTACTTGCAAAAAATTTACAAAAGTTAAGATATTGTTTGTAAATTCTTTAATATTAGCGATATTGGTAATATATGTTGCTGTGAGTAATGGATGCCAACCTGTTTATAGTTGAAACTGCTCTGACATAAATGAAGAAAAATAAATGAAAAAACTTGATGCATCACCTGCAGTAATGGCCTTTTTCACATCCTGTGGGTTTGTGGACAGGTAGAGAACAGGCTTGATCTCACTAAGATGATCAAGCAGGGGTTTTTCACCAGTAATCTTACAGTCCAGATCTGCACAGACAAAATCACTAAATTGAGTTTAGTATCTTATTTTATTTATGTTGATACTAAAATTAGGTGAGTTAGGGTCTGCAGTAAGGGATAGTTCATAAAAAAGAACATTCATCATTTAATCAATGTCATTGATTGTTTTTTTTTGTGTTTTTTTTTTAATGGACCACAACAAAAAGTTTTGCAGAATGTTCACTCTGTTCTTTTCCATGTAATGAAAGCAGACATGTAGTCAATACGACTGGTGCTTCACTTTACAGTAAAGGTCCTTGCACACTGAGTCTGAAATTTGCGTCCGAAATTTTCGCACGTTAAAAAATAAATACAACTCACGTTATGTCTATCACGCTTTC